AATATCCAAATTTCAGAAGCTGAAAATGTGATGCAGAAATGATCTTTTCCACTTGTCGTGAATCATCAAGCAGCTGCAATATCTGTTGAAATTATCTCAATATTGTTAATTTGTTTTACCAATATCGTGCAGCCTTACGTAAACCACACAAACTACGAAACTTTCCCCTTTTTTAAAAGTATGAACGGCAGCGTCCTGTACTCAGACTAATAACTTCTGACAGGATATCGATAACCAAACGCTTCCTTTCCTTTTTTAAATGCTGTGAAATGATCTTCAACTGAATTACCGACCGGACATTGTCCTAACAGTTTCTTTTGTTGTTTTTGTTTTAATGCACAGTATTCCCTGGAGTCTGAATCTGTCACAGTGCAGCACACAGATAGGCTCTGTGTTAAACCAGATTCTGTGCGCTGGCCGACCCGAATAGATCCTCTTATCGTGGGAGCAGACGTGACTTATCATGTGCCTGTGTGTGGTGTGTTTTTAATTGTACATCTCTGTTACTCAGTGACATAAAAGCCAGTGTGCTGTCATTCATAAACCGGGTGATAGTTAGAGAGATGTTTTGTCTCTGTGTGCTGTACAGTGTTTGTTGTGGTCTCTTCTTACAGCAGCTGGACACAGAAACATGAAAACCTGACCGATATAACACAACACAATGAGAAACGCATCAGTTACCACATTAAAACTGTTTAAGATAACAGATTGTTGTTGTTTATAATTCAAAATATATCCACGTCTCCGCTCGTTTAGATCGTCCACGATCTGACTTCCATTGTTCAGTCGGTATTGCACGACACAATGGTATGTACGCACGTAGCACACAGCAGGCCAGCAAAGAGTCAACAAGAAGTACTAAAAATAACATCCAGTGTGGCATAAAAACAATGAGAAAGTTTAGGAAGCCCAGCGGCATGAATGCCATAAATGAAATGTACATTAATTTGTGGGAAAGACACTGAAACAGGCTGTAAGCTCAGTTTATTGGCACAATGACTTAATGCCATTTATATAAGGGAACTGATTTAAGGGCACATATTAAACACGTTTAAGGATATTAGTTATTAACTTTGCGTGTACAGTTCTTTCCTCGATTCTTGCTACAGGTTTACACTGTCAGAGAGCTGTTAATTCACCTCTTCACAGTTCAACCATCGACTGATTATCAGAACTGTCAATCAACTGATCACATGAAGTCGTTTTTTTAAAGCAAAAGTGACAAAAACTGACTGCTTTGAGTTCCCATCTAGTTCCACGTGACAGAAACGTTTGAGCTTGAATCTGGTTTTAACTTGCTGTCAATCAAAGTCGAACCATCTCAACTTTTGCTGCAGTGCGCCGTCATCCTGCGAGGCGCTGTGTTTCTTCTGTGTGTCATGTTTCTACAGCAGCCCAGAAGGGACAAACCAAACACTGGCTCCAGATTTGCCTTTTTTGCTGCCACCATATTTTTCTCTTTCGCGCTTTGAAGGGCAGAGTGAAGTGATCTGCAGCTACGCCACTAAATGGCATTAAATTCTACCAACTGGACCTTTTATTAAGTTGAGTATTTCTACATTAGTCCGCTGGTTCTCAACCTTTTTGATGTCAACGACTGGAGAAGCAGCGATCGCAGATTTTCTGACTGACCTGCCGATTCTCGCCGATTCTCAGAATATAATATAACTGACAGGACACACAAACATTTTCCAACTTCTCTTTAAAGAAGCATTTCACCCGTGGAAACATTAATCTTTATTGAAAGTGGGTTATATATGTAGTCGAAATGTAACATAAATTTTGAATTTGGTGCCTATTTGACCGAGAAAAGAGTGTTTGTAGTCTCAC